TCCACTTTCCGGTTGCAAAGTAATGATGCATAGCAGCAATGGACCGGAACCACCAAACGCAGCCTGTTTCCTGGACCATCGTGATTGTCTCCATATGACGAACGCTGATGTTTGGCCTGCTCGCTGTTGACAACCGGAGTGGCATCATTGTCGTCGGCTGGCTGCAGCATTGCGCCCACATTCCCTACGACCTCTATACCGTCTTCATAAACGTCGCTAATAGCTTCAGTGATTTTTTATATCTGCTTTAATGACCTAACACGCTTTGGGAGCTTCGGGTCCGAATGTTTTGCAGCGTTTGGTCTGGTCAGAAACAGTTGGAGGAATGAACTTGCACGGTCGGAACATTATTTATTCTTAACTTTCAGGACCACGTACATTTTTTTATTCCGAATTCGGAATATATTCCGCAAAAAAATAACGCTGCTCATGAGCCTGCAACCTAGTTGCCGGCCCTCTCAGCAGCCGAGCTAGCTAGCAAAGTCATTATTTTGTTTGCTCTCATACCATAGAAAGTTCCCGTTTTTTATCATTTTGCTGCTTTCTTCCTGTGTCATCATGAGCTGTCCATTATGCTGGTCTTCGTCTTTTCGTCTTTTTGTTTGTCTATTTTATTTCTTTGTTTTTGTTTTAAGATTATATTTAGGAAGAAGTCATTACATTAACATTTAGTTATAGAGTAATGTTTTGTTAACATCTCAAAAGTATATTAGCTGCTTGGAAATTTATTTTAAATAGACTAATTAAGTTTGCTCCAATCCTTCCCTATGGCATAAAACAAGGGGTAACCCCCCCATAAAACAAGGCATAACCCAGGGTGTAGGGGTAGGGGTTACCCATGTGGCTATGTATGGAGGTGGGTAACCTAACCCCGGGGTAGGGGTAACCCCTTACCGAGGGGTAACAAAGGGGTCAGGGTAATACACTACTGATGGGTAACAGACCCATGTTTACATTCACCTGCGCCTGTGTCGCCTGTTTACACTCACAAACGCACATGTCTTCACCAATCACTTGTGAAGGCCCAATTATCGACATTGCTGCACCAAAGCATGCCTTGTTCAGAAACCTAAACCTAAGGATAAGGCACACAGCTGCAGCCTAGATGCAAGGAGGCAGACGAACAGGTGTACATATGCAGAGCAAATTGGGAACCACGAGAAGCCACCAGTGAAGCCAATAAATATCCCTATCAAAGTGTAGCAGCCGGTACACAGTACGGTGCTATAAATACATGCAGAGCGCGACCGCCAGCAACTCAGAGACCTTTTCAGCGGTCAGCTGCTACATTTGGTATCGAGACCTCGTGAAAATTCACGATCCTGAAGTCGTCGGTTCAACCCCCACCGATCACGTTCGAGTGGTATTTCGGGTGTGGCGACTCAGTGAGCGAATATCGCACAAAAACTATAAAAAAAAGTAGCTGAACCGACTGGACTGTCTCTGTGCCTGAAAAACCTGAAGG